AAGGCGTCAGACCTACCCTCAACTAAGTGCTGATGCACGAATACAGCCAGTATAAGCAAGTTATGGAACTCGCCAGTTTAAGTCTAATTAATCGTTAAGCACGTGTTCGGTCCAAGTCCACCTGAGGCATGATCACACAGCACACCTCACCCATTAGGAATCCTCATCCCCACTTGAGACGCCAGGACACAGGACAAGATAACTAATTTCAACCGGAACGGCGGCGACAGCACCCTCTCCCACCTAAAGTGGACCAATTCTCACTAACGTGCACGGATGGCTATAGATGACTCCGCCTCTGAGCATCAATAAAGCTCCGCAAGATTGAAACCTAGTACCTCCAAGGACTCCAGCACTTAAATCGCGCATAGAAAAGTGTAATTAACTACCCTTGAAATCAAAGCCATGGAAAGCTACACACTAGGTCAACTTCAAGTTGCGGTAGACCATGACACCGACATTAGTCTGAAGGTCCACCCAATCAACAAAATGAAATAACGAAGTGAAAGCACACTACGGAACTGGAATCACAAAAAGCATAGACCTTAAGGTCGACGGCGAAGCAGCTGAACATCACGAAAAAATAAAGGAAACAATACGAACATTACCAAGAAATATTTATTGATTTCTAATTACGACTAAACTCGATGCGACGCTGAGGGGGTTTACGAATTTTGCGATCTGCCTTTGAACGACCTCGCAAAATCTTCCCGTGGATGGCGCAACTCACGCAATATTGCAGCTTGACATACAGTTTCGGCAGAGTGTATCCTAAAGACAATCGAAGACCCGTTGCATGCAGCAAAAGTGCAAACAAAGTGAAGAAATGTTACAACTCTAAATATGCGACCTGTTTGCAATTACATTCGATATACAGTCTTGGAGGCATAGAGAGCAAGCAAAGACAGACAAATTGAAAACAAAGCTGAGATGCACAACCGCAACAACGAACACAAGGAGTAAACGCACCTGTGTAGAAGGAGGCCTCTGTCAAATCCTTTACTGCAGCAGCTTCTGCAATGTTCCGAATAACAAATTTGGGGATGCATTTGTCCTTAGGACAGCACCTCCCGCAGTTGCTACATCGGATGAACTGAACATGACCGCGACCCTTCTTGGAACGACCATTATTCCTCCTCTTCTTAGTCTACACCAAACGCCATCACAAAATATGCGGAGCTACCATAATCAAGCAACGTGAAAACCGGTGGTAAAAGGAAGGCGCGTCCTCATCGATTTAAACACTCCAGCAAGAAATCAATTGTGGAGTCTTTGTAGAACCTTAGACATTTAAACAATTAAACATTACAAGGCTATAATTTATGGACATGCATTGGGTGCAGATTCGGTGTTTTATTGTTGGACGGTATTGCACATTATCCACACAAAAAATTCGAAGATTATCCTGCTCCACAAATGACGGCTTTCTTCATTGCATATCTTTTTAAAGGAACGCATTGTAACGTTATGACAAAAATAACAAACTTTTACAAAGTACATACTATTTGAAGTGTATACTAATGTGTTTAGTTCGTCTTTATAGAGAGAAGGTGGTTAAGCGATTCCAACACAACTACGGCCATGGGGAAAGCGAATACGCATTTGCGGCATGACAGTGGCCCATTTTCGGATGGTTACTACTTTCATTTACTCTACAAGATGCCAAATGAACCTTCCCTGTCCATCCTGTTCATGAGGTTCGATATTCGAAAGTCTGAGGCTAGGCTGGGAGATATTCCACCATAGTTTTAAAGAGAAATTTTGAAAACGAATATGTAAAAATAACGACTGAATTTTGGCGCTCCTTTCTACAATCTTGCAAGGCGATTTTTTATGTTTTCGCCTAAAGACATTGCATTATCGTGCCCACCGGTACTACAAGCCTAAAAATCTTAGCTTTAAAAATTGGTAATAACATTTACGTCTTAAGTCATATTTTTCGATTCTCTAACTGTCAACACCTATTTTAATTGCACGGCAATTGCAAATGACCATATTTTGATTTTATCATTTTGAAGCTTTTCGACACGGTTAACGTGAGTCACCTTGCACGACTTTTTCTATGAATATCAGGAAATTCTGGGCTTGGGAGTGTTTGTTTTCTATTGGAAAAATTTAATAATATTCGTGGATTTGTTTTATTTTTCACTGAGTGGTCATTTTAATAATCGTTATATATTTATGGTCCGTAACTAAATGTCGAGGTTACTTTTGCTGAAAAATATGAATTCAAAATACGTTAAAGAGGAAATTCTTGGATCTGGAACCTATGGTACAGTTTTTAGGGCTAAGGATAGGTTTACGGGTGAACGATATGCTATCAAGCAAATTTTGATTGATAAGTAGGAATTGATTTGAGTAAAATTTGAAGTTTTGACAATGGAATCCCTGCTTCTACAATGCGCGAAATTGGTGTTCTAATTGAACTTAATCAGTTTAACCACCCTAACATCGTAGGGTATGTTAGTGATTCATGGGATTCATTCTTATCCAGAATTCATGAAATTATTCATGAGGACCGCAATATTTCTATTGTATTTGAGTGTTTTGAATGGGACCTTAAAAAATACATGGATTATTTTAAAAAGTCCGGTCATAAATACAGATGTAATCCAAGTGGAGGTTTACCAATCATTTTGGTCAAAGTAAGTCCCATTTTTGACTATTGTGTAGGCTTTCACAAGGCAACTTCTCGATGCCCTCAGATTTTGTCACAAATATAAGATTATACACCGTGATATTAAGCCATCAAATCTCTTGTTCTCAAAAACCGGCGTCTTGAAGCTAGCTGATTTTGGTCTATCCAGAACACGTTCTATGGGCAACCGTACGTACTGCCACGAGGTTGTCACACTATGGTACCGTGCACCCGAAATCATTCTAGGCTCCTCGTCATACACGACTGCCATAGATATTTGGAGTGCTGGATGCATCGCCTACGAAATGGTAATAGCACGCACTTGTAGAAGTTGTTTAGTTTACAGGCAATGTTTTGTTCCAAGGCGATAGCGAAATTGATCAGTTGTTTAGGATATTTCGGAGGTTTGGTATGATGTCCTTTCACTCACTTTCTCCATTAGGAACCCCAACCACTGAGGAGTGGCCAGATATAAATGAAATGCCAGATTATAATGAGGAGTTTCCACGATTCCCACCCCAACTATTTGTCCAACGGGAAATCACAAAAGATTTCAAAGCACTTATAATGGTAGGCGACTAGTTTACTGCATAAAAGCCGGGAGTTGGTAGAATAAGACACTTACTTCAAGTCCTCTTTCTTTTAAAGTTATCTTATGCTTGTTGTCTTGGTTCCAGGAGATGCTAAAGCTGAACCCTCAAGACCGCGCAGAAGCTCATGAGCTAAGGCACGCATCCTTCCTCCGAGGTGCCAAGATCGTTCCTATTGGGTGAAATTTTATTAACAAAAACAATTCGTAATTAAAGTACGATAACCAACCAGTTTACTCCAGTTTTCTCCAATCTGCTGCCTCCTCCATTATGGTATAGCTATTACATGAGCAATCAGATAACACTGTTAGCTTCAGATCTTCAAAGCTGTCAATGAAATTGAGCTTCACTTTTATAAATAGACCGTTTCAAATCCGATGCCCTTAATAAGGACGATCTGATGTACGCATTAGGCCTTCGCCCAAGTGCTCCAGCTGTGGCTACGCAGCCCCCGAATCCTGATTATCACGCCCCTAGTTTAGGACACAATGGCCGATCCCACCCCCCCC